GCTGAGGGTGTTGGCGCTGAGACTACTGTTGTCGGTCCTGGAGGCGGTCGTGCTGGGGGTGCTACTGGTGTTGCTGGAGGTACTGGAGCTGGAGGTGCTGCTGACGCTGGTGCTGCCGCTGGGGGTACTGGTGCTGTCCCTGCTGTGTCTGGAGTCGCCGCGCGGCCTCGGCCGTACTTCGTTCCGCTCCTTCAGCAGGTTCTTGGTCTCCCGCCTTCTACTGGTCCTCCTCCTCCCTTAGAGTGTCCACAGCCTGTCCTGTCACAGTTACAGTTACAGCCGGCCTCCCCACTTCCTGCCCCTTCTCCCTACACTGGTCCTACTGGAGGTCTTGCTGAGCGTCGTGAGCCTGCGTCTCGCCCTACGTCGCCTGTCCGTGCTGCTCGAGCTAGTGGTCGTGGTTCGCGTCAGCGTCCTCCTCCTGTCCTTGGCACGCACTGGATGTCTCTGCGTCTGTCCACTGCTCCTCTGCGTGCCCCTTTGCCTTCTCCTCCTGAGTCCTCTCTTCCTGCTCTTGCCGACCCGGAGTCGGACTCTCTTCGTGCTGCCAGTCCTACTGTCATGCGTCTCCTTGCTACTGTCGTCACTGACCCTTCCTTTGAGTCCACTGCTGCGTCTGCCCTAGTTGCTGAGCTCGTCGACTTTGCTGCTCGCTGTCGTCTAGACTACGCTGCTAGTCTTGTCGCTGACAGAAGCCACGAGCCACGTAACGCGCTTTGAAGACAGGCGGAGAACCCGGCGGCCGCTTCACCCTGAAAATCAACATGCCATTGACGATGTTCGCCCCAGGCGGGAGAACCTCGTCAATGTAGGTGCCTGTGGACTTCCAGGAAGCCATCTCTGTGTCCATAGCTGCCTGCCACTGAGAGGAGTAGGGACCCTCTATCGCCTCCGCGTAAGAGCGCGGAGTCGGGATGTCAAGTGCATCCGGGTCTCCCTCAGGGGTAAGCAGTACGGACACGAGATGAGGTGAAGCAGTAGCCAAACACTGGAACTCCTCCTGCCTGCCCTCAAGGACGTCCGTGCCAAGGGCACACTCACCCCCGACGGACGAAGGACAGACAGACTCAGACTCAGCAACAAGACTAGCAGCGTAGTCTAGACGACAGCGAGCAGCAAAGTCGACGAGCTCAGCAACTAGGGCAGACGCAGCACTGGACTCAAAGGAAGGGTCAGTGACGACAGTAGCAAGGAGACGCGTCACAGTAGGACTGGCAGCACGAAGAGAGTCCGACTCCGGGTCGGCAAGAGCAGGAAGAGAGGACTCAGGAGGAGAAGGCAAAGGGGCACGTAGAGGAGCAATGGACGGGCGCAGAGACATCCTGTGCGTGCCAGGGACAGGAGGAGGACGCTGACGCGAACCACCACCACTAGCGCGAGCAGCACGAACAGGCGACGCAGGGCGAGACGCAGGCTCACGACGCTCAGCAAGACCTCCAATAGGACCAGTGTAGGGAGAAGGGGCAGGCAGTGGGGAGGCCGGCTGTAACTGTAACTGTGACGGGACAGGCTGTGGACACTCTAAGGGAGGAGGAGGACCAGTAGAAGGCGGGAGACCAAGAACCTGCTGAAGGAGCGGAACGAAGTACGGCCGAGGCCGCGCGGCGACTCCAGACACAGCAGGGACAGCACCAGTACCCCCAGCGGCAGCACAAGCGTCAGCAGCACCTCCAGCTCCAGTACCTCCAGCAGCACCAGTAGCACCCCCAGCAGGACCGCCTCCAGGACCGACAGTAGTAGTCTCAGCGCCAACACCCTCAGCAGCTCCAGCTCCAGTTGTACCTGCAGGCCCAGCAGCTCCAGTACTCCCAGTACGAGCACCTCCGGGACCTGCGGCACCAGCACCCTCAGCAGCCGAAGAACCTCCACCGCCAGCAGCACGCCTCCAGCGCCGGGCAAACCACTCGCGCAGCTCCGGTGGAGAGAGTGGCTCCCGCCGAGACGAAGGACCCGGAGAACCTCCACGCCCAGCACCACTAGACGTCACACGAGTAGGCCCAGCTCCCTCAGGCTCCACACCCCCAGGCTCAGCACCTCCAGACGTAGCACCCCCAGGCTCAGCACCCCTAGTAGTAGCACCCCCAGGCTCAGCACCCCTAGACCCAGCACCCCCAGGCTGAGCACCCTCAGGCTCAGCACCCCCAGTAGTAGCACCCTTAGGCTCAGCACCCCCAGAGTCAGCATCCCCAGCCGCACCAGAGTCACCAGTAACCTCGACAGGCTCGACTGCGTCTACCTGGGACACACCTGAAGGGGCAGGACCCTGAGGGGGGAGGGGTTCTACCGGGGGGGGGACCTGGCACAAGGAAGAGCGGTGGCGGGGGGAGGGACTGAGTGCGGTAGGGGAAGATGCGGTAGTAGGGGACCGACTCGTCAAACGTGACGTCCTGGGAGGACAGAACACGGCGAGAGGTGGGGTGGTAGAACTGCCACCCTGGCGCGTCAGGGGGGAAGCCAAGGAAGACGCAAGGAGCAGCACGAGGGGACAGCTTGTCCGCAGACAAGTCGCGAACGAACGCCCGAGATCCCCAGACACGGAACGCAGACGCATCGCCAACCTTCCTTGTCCACAGCAAAGCTGGGGAGGTCTCCGGCCTGGAGACCCTGGGGTGAAGGTTGATCTGATGAGCTGCGTACTGAACCGCAAACGGCCACAGAAAATGGGGGGCAGCCGCATGCATCATGGACGTACGGGCGACGTCCATGTCCATGCCAATGCGGCGCTCAGCAATCTCATTTTGTTGTGGAGAGTCCGGAAGCGTGAAGGTCTGGTGCATGCCTCGTGCACGACAGTAGGCTCGCAGAAGGCCAGAGGAGAACTCTCCGCCTCTGTCACAGTGCAGACGCAGAACAGGAAAGTCCGAGCCAAAACTCTGCCTGAGCAGGAGACAAGCTGCGCGGATCCTGTCGATCAACACCTCAGTGACATCACCCTTGCTGCGCAAGGGGAAGACTGTGGTGTAACGCGAGTAGTCGTCAACCACCAGCAGGAAGTAGCGCTCGTGACCCTGTCCACAGACGCGGGCCGAGCCCCACACGTCCATGTGAAGCGTCTGCAGCGGGGCCTCTGTCGGACGAAACTGGGAGGACTGAGGGGCAGCCCTCTACCGCTCCTCGACACAGGGGACACAGGTAGGGCCAGGCCCCGGAGGAAGGGGAGGGAGGGACCGGGGAAGACCAGAAACAAGGAGACGGGAGGCCATGCCTCTGAGACGAAGCAGGGAGGGGTGACCAAGGCGGTGGTGCCAGAGGAGAGTCTCGTGAGACAGGAGGCGACATGAGCAGGGGGCAGACTCAGGACCAGACCTGGACGCTGCAGCAAACACGTGACCCGACGTAGCTACCTGACTAGACATAGGGACAGGAGGAGACGCAGTGGTCACTGTGTACAGGCTCGACCCCGGCTGACGTGTAAACGTGGCCAAGCGTCGGCCCGTCCGAGCGTCCGTGCAGTGAGTCACGCGTTGGCTCGCAGGAGTGAACTGGTGAACTCCCCCATGCTATAGGTCAGCACCACTCACCAAGTTTGTAGAGAACGAGGAGAGGTAAAGACCAGATAGGGTGCCAGAGGGAGCCGCCGGACACGGGAGGACAGTGGAGAAGTGAGCAAGGACAGGACCCCCAGAGGGATCTGCCAGAGAGACTGCAACTGGCCGACCAAGCGGCGTGAGTGTGGTGCGGTCTCGAAAGAAGGAGCGAGAAGCCCCCGAGTCAAGGGTGAAGGTGAGGGAGGTCGAAGCCGACGCAGTACCTGAGAGAGCAGACTCACCAGCACCTGAGGACGCAGACGCACTAGCACCTAGAGCAGCAGCCTCGCTAGCACCTAGACCAGCAGCCTCACCAGTACCTAGAGCAGCAGTCTCAATGCCCGGGTCGGGCGGAAAACACCGGTAACAGTCACCCTCATCACTAATAGTCACAGCATACATGGCAGCAAGAATAGCATCAAAGTCAAGGTCAAAGACAGCTACTCCCGCCCTAGACAGCTCACCCCAGCGGGGGATCTCAGTGGCCTCCGGGAACTGGTGACGCCAAGCGTCCGTCAGGCGGCCAAAGCAGCGCTGGGTGGAGTGCGCACCGTCGCCGCCCGTCGCCGCCCTCCCCCTGTGGCCCGTCGCCGCCCTTACAGCGGCCCCGTCGCCGCCCTTAGAGCGGCCCCGTTGCCGCCCTTATAGCGGCCCGGTCGCCACCCTTACAGCGGCCCCGTCGCCGCCCTTAGAGCGGCCCCGTTGCCGCCCTTATAGCGGCCCCGTCGCCGCCCTTACAGCGGCCCCGTCGCCGCCCTTTCAGCGGCTCCGCCTCCTCCTTCAGCGGCCCCTTCGCTGCCCTTTCAGCGGCTCCGCCGCCCCCCACTTCAACGCCCCCGTCGCCGCCCTCCCCTTACGGCTCGTCGCCGCCCTTACAGCGGCTCTGCCGCCTCCTTCAGCGGCCCCGTCGCCGCCCTCCCCTTACGACCCGTCGCCGCCCTTGCAGCGGCCCCGTCGCCGCCCTCCCCTTACGGCCCGTCGCCGCCCTTGCAGCGGCCCCGCCGCCTTCTTCAGCGGCTCAGTCGCCACCCTTGCAGCGGCCTCGACGCCGCCCCTTAAGCGGCCCTCCCGCCGCCTTCTCTACGGCCGCGTCGCCGCTCACTTCAGCGGCCCCGCCACCATACGCGGCCCCTCCTTCCTTAGCGGCACAGCGGCCCAGCAGCCGAGCCGCCGAGCAGCCGAGCCGCTGAGCCACCCAGCAGCCGAGCCGCCCAGAAGCCGAGCCGCCGAGCCGCCGAGCCGCCTAGCAGCCGAGCCGCCGAGCCGCCCACCAGCCGAGCAGCCGAGCCGCCGGGTCGCCGAGCCGCACAGCTGTCGCGTCGCCGAGCCGCCCAGCAACCGAGCCGCCGAGTCGCCCAGCAGTCGAGCCGCCCGCACCACTGGGCCGCCCGAGCCGCCCTGTCCGGTAAGAGCAGCGCCTCTGTCACTGCACTGCCTTTACCCCACTGTTCGCGCTGCTAGTCTCTTGCTATCATGGCTACCCCTAGTGTCCTCGCTTTTGACGCTGAGGGTCGGGCCATTGACTTTGACGTCTGGATAGATGACCTGCAGCTTTTCTTACAGTGCGATAGGGCAGACGGTCTCTCCCTCTTTGACCTCACCTCTGGTGCCTCTCCTGCCTCTGCTGCTGATGCGGACGCCACTGTCCGCTCACAGTGGGCCACACGCGATGCTGCTGCACGTCTTGCTGTGCGTCGCCACCTTCCTACCTCTGAGTGTGCGCACTTTAGCCAGTACAAGAGTGCTCAGACCTTGTACGACGCTATAGTTGCACGCTACTCCTCCCCTGCCACTGCTGCACTGAGCCGCCTCATGCTAGCGTACCTCTTCCCTGACCTTGCTGCCTTTCCCACAGTCACTGACCTCATTACGCACCTCCGCACTAGTGACACTCGCTACCGCGCTGCGCTTCCTGCTGAGTTCTGCGCCAAGACCCCCCCCCCCACCCATGTACATCACCCTCTACTACATAGTCGCCCGTCTCCCTGACTCCCTCCGCGTAGTCAGGGACCACTTTCTCTCTGTTTGCCCCACCACTCTCACCGTTGACCTCCTCGAGAAGGCCCTCCTAGGAGCAGAGAAGAGCATAGTCGCTGTAGGAGCCTCTCGTGGTGACCTCCGCACCCCCGTCTTTAAGGGGTGTTCTCCCTCCCCCCTCTTGCCCTCTGTTGCCTTTGCTGCTGCGGCCGACCTCGCTGGTTTCGAGTCGGTCGGCGCTGCGTCTGCCCCTTCGGGGAAGCGCCGCACAGGCAAGGGCAAGGGGGGCAAGGGCGCTGGAGGAGCTAGCGGGGGCGGTGGAGGTGGCGGTGGAGCCGGCGGAGGGGGTGGGGGTGGCGGTGGGAGTGGTGGTGGGAGTGGTGGCGGGGGTGGAGGTGTCGGTGGCGGCAGTGGAGGCGGAGGCGGCGGTGGCGGAGGGAGCGGAGGTGGCGGAGGTGGCGGCGGAGGAGGAGGCGGAGGCGGGGGAGGTGGAGCTGGTCGGGATGGCGCTACGCAGAGGGTCGGCTCCGGTGGTGGTCAGCGCCAGCACAAGCAACACCGGCGCACTCGTGACATTCCCCCCCCTCAGCAGCTCCGTGAGTGGTACGCTGCACGCCAGCGGGTTGGGAGTACTGGTCCGTGCACCTACGTCCTGCGCACCAGTGACCGCGCGGGTGAGCAGTGCGGGGGTGCGTACTTCACCCAGCGCTGCTTTGGCCGCCTTACGGACGCTTGGCGTCACCAGTTCCCTGAGGCCACTGAGATCCCTCGCTGGGGTGAGCTGTCTAGGGCGGGAGTAGCTATCTTTGACCTTGACTTTGATGCTATTCTTGCTGCCATGTATGCTGTGACTCTTAGTGATGAGGGTGACTGTTACCGGTGTTTTCCGCCCGACCCGGGCATTGAGACTGCTGCTCTAGGTATTGGTGAGGTTGTTGCTCTTGGTGCTAGCGAGGCTACTGCTCTAGGTGCTAGTGCGTCTGCTTCCTCAGGTACTGGTGAGTCTGCTCTCTCAGGTACTGCGTCAGCTTCGGCCTCCCTCACCTTCACCCTTGACTCGCGGGCTTCTCGCTCCTTCTTTCGAGACCGCACCACAATCACGCCGCTTGGTCGGCCAGTTGCAGTCTCCCTCGCAGACCCCTCTGGGGGTCCTGTCCTTGCTCACTTCTCCACTGTCCTCCCGTGTCCGGCGGCTCCCTTTGGCACACTGTCTAGTCTTTACCTCCCCTCGTTCTCTACGAACTTGGTGAGTGGTGCTGACCTACAGGATGGGGGACGCACCAGTTCACTCCTGCCTGCGTCCCCTGCGTCGAGGGGTGGCAGCGTGCTGCCCCTCACTCCTCCGAGTTTCCTCCGACAGAGGCCCCGCTGCAGACGCTTCACATGGACGTGTGGGGCCCAGCCCGCGTCCGTGGACAGGGTCACGAGCGCTACTTTCTGCTGGTGGTTGACGACTACTCGCGTTACACCACAGTCTTCCCCTTGCGCAGCAAGGGTGATGTCACTGAGGTGTTGATCGACTGGATCCGCGCAGCTCGTCTCCAGCTCAGGCAGAGCTTTGGCTCGGACTTTCCTGTTCTGCGTCTGCACTCTGACAGAGGCGGAGAGTTCTCCTCTGGACTTCTGCGAGCCTACTGTCGTGCACGAGACATCTGCCAGACCTTCACGCTTCCGGAATCTCCACAGCAAAATGGGATTGCGGAGCGCCGCATTGGCATGGTCATGGACGTCGCTCGTACGTCCATGATGCATGCGGCTGCCCCCCATTTTCTGTGGCCGTTTGCGGTTCGGTACGCGGCGCATCAGATCAACCTTCACCCCAGGGTCTCCATGCCGGAGACCTCCCCAGCCTTGGTGTGGACGGGGAAGGTTGGCGATGCGTCTGCGTTCCGTGTCTGGGGATCTCGGGCGTTTGTCTGCGACTTGTCTGCGGACAAGCTGTCCCCTCCTGCTGCTCCTTGCGTCTTCCTGGGTTTCCCACCTGACGCGCCAGGGTGGCAGTTCTACCACCCCACCTCTCGCCGTGTTCTGTCCTCCCAGGACGTCACGTTTGACGAGTCGGTCCCCTACTACCGCCTCTTCCCCTACCGCACTCCGTCCCTTCCCCCCCCACCGCTCTTCCTTGTGCCAGTTCCCCCCCCCGGTAGACCCCCTCCCCCCTCAGGGTCTTGCCCCTTAAGGTGTGTCCCAGGTAGACGCAGTCGAGCCTGTCAAGGTTGCTTGTGACTCTGGTGCTGCTGAGGGTGCTGAGCCTGGGGGTGCTGACTCTGGGGTTGCTGAGCCTGAGGGTGTTGCTGCTGGGGGTGCTGAGCCTGGGGGTGCTGCGACTGGGGGTGCTGAGCCTGGGGGTGCTACGCCTGGGGGTGCTGAGCCTGGGGGTGCTACGCCTGGGGGTGCTGAGCCTGGGGGTGCTACGACCGGGGTTGCTGAGCCTAAGGGTGCGGAGCCTGGGGGTGCGGAGCCTGAGGGAGCTGGGCCTGCTCGTGTCGCGTCTAGCGGTACTGTGCCTAGAGGTTCTCCGGGTGCTTCGTCTCGGCGGGAGCCACTCTCTCCACAAAAGCTGCGCGAGTGGTTTGCCCGACGCTGGAGGCGTGCTGCTGGAGCTGGAGGTTCTTCGGCTACTGAGGGTGCTGTGGTCGCGGGTCCCAGAGGTGCTCATACTGGGAGTACTGGAGCTGCTGGGGCTGCGAGTACGACTGGAGCTGGAGCTACTGAGGGTGTTGGCGCTGAGGCTGCTGCTGGAGGTCCTGGAGCTGCTGGAGCTGCTGGGGGTACTGGAGCTGGAGGTGCTACCGCTGGGGGTACAGGATCTGTCCGTGCTGTGTCTGGAGTCGCCACGCGGCCTCGGCCGTACTTCGTTCCGCTCCTTCAGCAGGTTCTTGGTCTTCCGCCTTCTACTGGTCCTCCTCCTCCCTTAGAGTGTCCACTGCCTGTCCTGTCACAGTTACAGTTACAACCGGCCTCCCCACTGCCTGCTCCTTCTCCCTACACTGGTCCCACTGGAGGTCTTTCTGAGCGTCGTGAGCCTGCGTCTCGCCCTGCGTCGCCTGTCCGTGCTGCTCGCGCTAGTGGTGGTGGTTCGCGTCAGCGTCCTCCTCCTGTCCCTAGCACGCACCGGATGTCTCTGCGTCCGTCCACTGCTCCTCTTAGTGGCAGGCAGCTATGGACACAGAGATGGCTTCCTGGAAGTCCACAGGCACCTACGTTGACGAGGTTCCCCCGCCTGGGGCGAACATCGTCAGTGGCATGTGGATTTTCAGGGTGAAGCGGCCGCCGGGTTCTCCGCCTGTCTTCAAGGCGCGTTTCGTGGCTCGTGGCTTCAGTCAGCGGTAGGGAGTTGACTACTTCCAGACCTTGTCTCCCACCCCGAAGATGACCACTCTTCGGGTACTGCTGCACATAGCTGCTCACCATGACTACGAGCTGCACTCTCTTGACTTCAGCAGTGCTTTCTTGCAGGGCAGCCTACACGAGGAGATCTGGCTACGTCGCCCACTTGGCTTCACTAGGTCTTTTCCTCCTGGCACCCAGTGGAGCCTTCGGCGGCCAGTCTTCGGTCTCTGTCAGGCACCGCGTGAGTGGCACGACACACTGAGGACTACGCTTGCGGCTCTTGGGTTTGCTCCTTCTACTGCCGACCCGTCGCTGTTTCTGCGCACCGACACTTCTTTGCCGTCGTTCTACATCCTCGTGTACGTCGACGACTTGGTCTTTGCTACAGCTGACACTGCTGGACTCGCCCACGTGAAGTCCGAGCTGCAGAAGAGACACACGTGCACAGACCTAGGAGAACTGCGCTGCTACCTTGGCTTGCAGATCACCCGGGACAGAGCACGCCGCACCATTACCCTGACTCAGTCACACATGGTGCAGCAGGTCCTTCAGCGCTTCGGCTTCACGTACTTCTCACCTCAGGCCACTCCTCTGCCTACTCGCCACTCGCTCTCAGCTCTGCCTTTGGATGAGTCCGTAGAGTCGAGTGGCCTGTACCCAGAGCTTGTTGGCTGCCTCATGTACTTGATGACCTGCACACGACCTGACCTTGCATACCCTCTTAGCATTCTCGCACGCTATGTTGCTCCTGGGAGACATAGACCAGAGCACATGGCTGCGCTACTTGTGCAGTACGTCGGGCCTGGGGCTTGTTTTTGGAGGGCGGAGTCCAGTGGTCCTCACTGGGCACGCAGACGCTTCTTAGGCTGACGACCAGGCTACGCAGCGGTCGTCACAGGGTTACACCTTCAGCCTTGGTTCCGGCTCTGTTTCGTGGCGGGCTACCCGCTCGTCTTCTGTTCTCGGCTCCAGTTGTGAGGCTGAGATCTACGCAGGAGCCATGGCTGCACAGGAGCTTCGCTGGCTCACCTACCTGCTGACTGACCTCGGAGAGCGGCCTCGTTCTCCTCGAGTACTATACGTAGACAACAAGGCCATGCTGGCCTTGTGTCGAGAGCAGAGACTGGAGCACAGAACAAAGCACATTGCTCTCCGCTACTTCCTTGCTCGTGAGCTACAGCAGAGTGGTCAGTTGCGGCTTGCGTACGTGGCCTCTGAGGCCAACACTGCTGATATCTTCACCAAGGCACTTGCGCCTTGTGATCATCAGCGCTTCAGTACCCAGTTGGGTCTTGTGCCTGCCTTGCCTCACTTGCTCAACTCTTGGCCTTGCTTGTACTGTTACATATATATATACTCCTGCTCTTGCTTGTCTAGCATTATATATATATGTACTCCTACATGTGAACTGGCCTTGTGGCCTTGAACTTGTGCTCGAAATGTGTGGTGACTTTGTGATCCACCCTGAGCTTGCTTTGCTTTGCTTTGCTTGACTGGTCTTGTGACCCCTTGTTCTCCCCCACTTTGCATATGGGGGTGTGTCAGAACATTATAGCTTATATTTTTGTGTAGGCTGTAGTGGGGTAGCCCATAAGGGGTACAACCCAATTAGGGTTAGTACTTGTACCCAACTGTTTCATAGTTGATTCATTCTCGTTTTCAACTTTTCTTACCTGCCTTGCTTCGTCCGCATCGATCTCGCCTTCCAGCTCGCTCCAGACCCGCTCATCTGGTGTAGTGCTGCTACTTGCGTCGTCCACGACAGGCGATTCCTGGCGCGCTTCACCATGCGCCTGGTGTAGTTCGGCGTTTTCCTTCTGTAGACGCTCCATCTCTGCAGTCATACCCTGCAAGTTGGCCTGCATCGCACGGAACTGTTGTATGAACTCGTTGAACTCGGCCTGCTCCATGTGCCTCAGGCTTTGTCGAACGGGCAGGGGGTGGCTCGCGATTTTTCTGACTTTGGTGAAGGCGTTAATGCTATCGTAGTCGGAGTGGAATAATCAGATCTATTCCACGGGCCGATTGCTTAACAGCCCACCAAGTCTATCGCTCCCCTTCTTTAAACTACCCCGGAAACGCGAGGGTAACCTTGGACTTTAGGCTCTGATACCAAGTGTTATAAGTTGTGAAAGGAAAGAGTGCGCAGAACTCAGTAATGCGGAAGTGAATACAACGTCTGTCTGAACAACGAGGCCTAGGCACAATATAGCAAGGTTAGCTAGGCCGAGGTCGCGGGGTCGCGAGATGGTTGGGTGCAGGTTCGGGGTTGGAAAACCCGAAAGCGACGCGGTGGTGGCTCGGAAGGCGAGGTCGGCGGGCCGAGCCTGGTTTTCGGAAAGTCGGAGTTGTACGCGTACAGTGTGACCCAGTAAGGAATCCGAAAAAATTCCTTACACATAGGCTCAATCCCTGATAAACTTTAGGTGTCATTGCCTGCATAGGGTAGCAAGTCATGGCGCCAATACAACACTGAGTCGTCAGTGTCCACAAACACAAAACACTGAAAAACAGAGTTTGAAATAAAAAAACACTGAAACATCAGGGTCGTTAAAAACAAAAGGCTGATACATCAAGTTCACATTAAAAAACGAGGGTCAAACTTAATGAATTCAAGGTAAAAATCCTGACTTCTAAGGCCCTGGTCCATGGGGGTGGGAGGGGGGGGGGGGGAGGGGGGTGGGGGGGGGCGCGCTACAGGAAAAACGAGGGGCCCGTAGGGGTCTTGCGAATGCACGAATGGGAGGGTGTCGCGGGTGGGTAGGAAAGAACGGGGCGCATTGGTCTACGGGGCGCGTGGGGACGTTGGGCTACGGGGTGCATAGGAGCTACGAGCGAAAGGCGGGGCGCGAGGGCGTGGCCTACAGGAACGAAACTAGCTCTGATACCATGTCAAGGAGATAATGGAAGAATGTATAAAGTAAACAAAGGCATATATGGGTTGATATAGCAAACCCAAACCTTAGTGCTCTGACAAATGTAACACAATGTAGAACCAGGCCCCTAGATTCGTTTTGAGGTAGTCTGATCCCTCAGAGTACACCCCTCTTCCTAGGCTGGCTGTCAGAGTTACCTATTTTTTTTAGTCTGAAAATTCAGACAAGCACAACCTTTTTTGTCTGAACTGTCAGAGTTAATTCAAATTTATAGATGTTCATGCAGTTTCATAACAGCATAGTTATAATAGCATTGAAGCTGATTACAGCATACCAACGCAATTGTGCGGCCAGAAATGGGGCACTCTGATTGGTCATTTTTCAAGAGTTAGGGCGGGTCAAACTTTGCACGTTTTCGCAGAAAATCCCACTCAACCATCTCGTGTTAAAAAAAGACCGCTCTGGATCAAGCCTAAACCTCTTTGAACCGCAATCGGACGTACTCTTTTGACTCGCCCTTAGGAACACTGAGCAGTCAGGGTTGAGGTGTGGGCATCACACAATGGCCTCGTGCAAGTGCCAAGTGTGGCAAGCTCACAATCATCTGACCTGGCAGCTCGGCACTTTTATGTGCTGGGCGCACTAGCAGCAGCAAGAGTTTTCAACTTTGTACACCGTGTGTGCGCGGAATATTTTCTCCTAAAGTTGCAGCTTCGAAATTTTGACTCGGTTTGGCAAGGGGAAATGATGTGCGGTTCTGCTGAAGTACGAGACTCATATGTGACAAGGCTTTCATTTGCACCAATTCACTTTTCGCCATGTACGATTCGCTAAAATCGTTTTGGCCATGTGCGATTGGCTATCTAGTTTCACAATTTAAGGGTTTTTATAAGCCCCCAATAAATTCAACTCTCGTGATAGCGTCGACAAAGTAGTGTATTCTGGTGCCCCTACTCGAGCAGTTTCATCC